TGGCTATACCCTTCCCATTATCAATGGTTTGGATGCTATAAAAATGATAGACTATGCTTGGAGAAATGTTACAAAAAAAAACAAACAATCAAGAACAGTTTTCTAAAAGTAATGTTTAAGCAAAGAAACAAGAAGAGGAAGAGGAACAACAACAAAACACCATTGACACAATGAAAGATATAGAAACCAATGACACATATTCAGAAAAGTGGATAATCATCATGTATAGACAATCTAGACATTTTATTTGAAGAGTTTTTGGAAGTAGATGTTCCCTGGTAACATATAGAATGTTAACAGATACAGAGATCATGAAATGTGAGAGGAGTTTCTGACAATGATGAACTAGATCAGATAGATTTACCTAAAGTTATTACCACAAAAAGCAGCAGAAAAGGCCATTGAAATGATGAGAACTTTCCCTGAATGTCAGTAAAATATTCGTCAGGATGCATTTACAGCTATTGCTTATCTTCAAAAAATTGTTCAGTCAAAAAAGTCAGTCATCAGAAATTATTGACCAACTATTTCTGCTAATGGATGTCAAAAACATTTAATTTTTACCTAATGCATAGATATATATTGTATAATAGATATATATTGTACATGCCATTGTATTAATAAAATACTTCACCTCAAATCAGACCTATTACTGTTTACTGCATATGAACCTCTTTATCTCAAAACTTGTCTATCTCAAATTTTTTTTCCTCATTTCCCATGAGATTTGAGAGACAGGTTCAACTGTATATTAAAGAAAGTTGTTTCAACATTTATTTTTTTTGTTTTTGAAATTTTTACAATATTTTCATTTCTAAATACTGACTAATGTCATTCAATTATTAAAACTACTATAAAATACAAATAAACAAAATACAGCTCTTTCCTTAGAAAAATAAAAATGCTTTACAGAAAAAAGGCAAATAATTAATTAAAATGTTTTTAGATCTGTAGATAATCTTCAAGGAAATATAATATTAAAACAATATTTTTTTATTTATCTCTGTGCTCTCCAAATTGTTCCTTATCAAATGGACTAAAAAGTATAACACTGACAATTAAATATGTATAGTACATACCCAAATATTTCATAAAACTATATTATACACAATAAGTGTTTCTTCATTGAAAACAATAAATAAGCAAAAGAAATGTGAAACAGAATTAATTATAATACAATTAAAATTTAGAAACAGAGCTACAAAAACTATTTTAAAATTCAAAATTTAGGTACATCATTGTAATCAAACATTTTCAAAAAGTTTGGAATTTTATGCTTTAATATTGCCATTTTTATATATTCCAGAATTATTAGTAATTGTTAGCAAAATATTACTTTTCCAAAATATCTGCAATTTGAATCAATTATGCAATAAATGACCACTTTTATATATTTTGATAATTGTAAATTAGAATTATTCTTTGTTAATAACAAAAATTTTAGTAAACAGAAGTAGCCAGTTGACAATTTTATAATATTTATTATAAAAATAAATTAAAGAAATACCTGCAAGTTTTTAATATTGTCAATTAACAAATAAATTGACAACATTAAACAAAATAATTGTTCATATTAATTTAACTATTTGCATGTCATCTTACTGAAAGTCTAAAAGAAATAATTACAATTTATATGAATTTTATTTAATGTCATTTATTTGAAAATATGTTCAATTGACTTATCAAAAACAAAACATATAGTGACAAATACTATATTATCAAATTACCTGTTTACTTAATTATTTGACTGTACAAATAACTAAATAATTTCCTTCTTATGCATCTTAAGATCTTTCTATCTTCTTTTGTAGTTTTCTATATAAAATATTTTTGGAAAAATTTATTCAAGCTACTATACTTAGAATTTTCTCTAATTATGTAATTAGTCATGTACTATTTAAGTTGTTGGCATCTGTTGTATTAAACCACAAAATTCTTAAAACTTTTTATAAATTTCTTTTCCCACATTCTTTATAATTTACTTAGCTTTTTCTCCTTAATTTTGATTTCCTTCTCTGGTGACTTAAAGTTTAATTTCTAATGTATCAAACCAAGGATATCAGCGATTCAAATAATCTATAGTAACAAATCAAGTATATAGTTTCAAATATAGTTTAAAAACAATAATTAAGTTGTTCTACCTCAATTTTTAAAATATATTTGGAAATCAAATTAATACAATTTAAGAGTTATATTTGAATTTAAGATCTAATTACTCACAGTTTTACAAATATATTCTCAGAATACAATTAAAGATTTTCTAATGCCTCACCAATATTAAACGTAGAAAATTTCCTAAGCATAATAAAATAAACACAGTTAACCTGTATTATCTGTGTCTGTATTATAAAATGAATATGAGTTTAATTTCATAAAATACAATGCAATTTTATAGTCAGAACTCAACATATTTCCATTTTCTTACAATTGTTGTTTCCGCATAATTTGTTTTATATATACTGGGTATTTCTGGGAAAATGAAATTGAACTCCACAGCATAGATTTGTCTGTTTCAGCTTCCTACGAAAACACAAATGTGGTGACATGCTTCTAACATTCTGTCTAAAGCAGTTTAAAACAGGCAGGTACCAGGATGATATGCATGTCCAATGCCATAACTAACAAAAATATCAAGAAAAAAGAAAAATTAAAACCGCCCACATGTGTGGCTAGCAGCCTACCAACTCCAGCAACTGATAAAACATACACATGTGCAGCAGCAGGCCATGCATATTAAACATCAATAAAGATAAAGTTAAAAAATTATAAAAGAGATCAATATAAATTGAAGCAATCGGAAACTTGATTGACATGTTGCTTGCAACCAGTTTACAACCAGTGATTGGCCCGCAGACTTTATTTGATGAACTTTAACCTCAAATATCTAAGCCCATAGATTAAATTTCCAGTTTTGTCATGATGCTGGCTTGCCAAGTTGCACATATTTGCAAAAAATCATGTTTAGTGGTTGTATGATTTCTTTAAACTTCAAATCACAGAAAAAAACACTTCTGACTTATGCAGAGCTCTGCTCAATTAGAATGACAACATATAAAATCTTTGCTTTTTGTTGATTGTGATTGACATTCAATTGAATATTGTTATATTTAAAAAGATTTTTTAAGCAGATGAATAGTGTTTATGAAAAAAATATTATGTGACCACATATTGATACCTCTACTTGGGTTGCAATCCTATATTTGGGAATTGCTATTTTACACTACTGTGTTAATGAGTGTAAAATGATCCAAAGCTGAAAACAGATATTTAACAATTTATTTTATTTTATAACAAGATTATCATTTCTGTATACCTTACATAGAGAATTCCAGCAACATAGTCAAAATTTTAATCAAAAATTTTGACAGATTTTTTTGGGTAATGTCAGCATTTTTGTCCATGACATTAGATTTGTTCAAAATTACAGGTTGAGAGCTCTGCACAGTATTTAGAAAAGCTTCAATAAAAAAAATTTCAATAACTTCTTTACATGTCAAAATCGCATGATTTAGAATGATAAATTGAACAAAATACTTTTTTTTAATATTGAATATTTTTGAAAAATAATAAAATTGAAAAAAAAAATATTTAATATTTTTTTAATACTTTTTTAAAAAATGTAATTTTGAATGAACTTTAAGAAATTTTAAAGTTATGTTCCAATAATTTAAATTATTTTTACTTCTAATATACTTATGAAAAGAAAAATATAAAAATTCTTAACCTGTTATTCCTGAGAAATTTTTTATTTATTGTTTTCTATTCATTACTATTTTTTACTGATATCCTAATAAATATTGCTTTCACTGACTTTTCTAAACATGTGTCTTTAATTTAAAAACAAAAAAAATATATATATAACTGAAAACTATTGAAATTATGCAGAAATCGAATTTTGAAAAGGCATTTATTCATTTCGTTGAGAAAGCAGCTGGAGTGTCATATTTGCAAGAAGACGTTTTCGTATAGTATACTATACGACAATCATCTGTTTGAACATTCCAATAAAAGAACTTACCCCTGTAATGTCTGTAGAAAACAGTTTTTCTTCAAATGTTATTTTGAGAAACACAAAAAATCACTTATAGAATGGACTCCGTTTTCTTGTTCAAAATGCAAGAAGAGATTTAAACTTTCATCCGAATTAGCAAAACACAGGAAATATTATATATACGTATAACTATTTATATAATTTGCAGTAATTATGTAATTATTATTAATCAAAATTCCTTGAAAAGCTTCCAAAATGTAATTTAAAAACCTAGTTTAATTGTTTATAAAGGAAATAAGGAAAAAATATTGATAATTGATTTATTTGTGACTATATTTCCTTTCATTTGTTCAACTGTACTAACCGATAAATTAATTAATATCAAAATATATAACACCTGTTTCCTGAAGGAAAATTTATTTTTGCAATAGAAAATTTATATAATCAATTTTCAGATCAATATTGATAAAGAATTATTCAATTTAAGATAATTTTAAGCTTTTTATTTATTTCTCATCTCTTACATAAGAGCAAACACATAAATTACTATCTAATCATAAAAAAAATTTAAAACAAAACTAATTATGATTAATTGATAAATTTTATAATGCTTATTCTAATTATTTATCATTATGTGGATAAATATAAACAGGTTACAAACATAAAACATTATATAACCTTGCTTACAGCTAATATAATATAGCATTAAATGAATATAAAATTTTATATTGTATGATAATTATCATCGTTTTAAAAACATTAGCAAAATCAATATTTATAGCAAAAACAAGAGAAAGATTGATAAAGGGATGGCTTTTGTACAATGACAGGATTATGATCTTTGTCAATATCGATAAATATGTATGAAAAAGAAATGAAATGAATGTGCCAAATCTTTTGAATGCGTGTTAAATTTGAAATAAGCAAAATAAATCATACCTAAACGTAGCGAATTTTAAACTCCCATACGATATACGACGAGACGTTTGTTGTGATATTCACTGCAGCGATGCTTTGTCCGTTAGAAACAATAATACTCGCTGCGATTCTTCTAAAATCCTACTCGAAAACTTGATATATGTAAAAGTAATACTTAATATTTGACGAAATTAATAAAACTATTGAATAATTTATCTCTAGAAATAATTAATAGAAGAGAAAGAGACTATTTTTATCTATCTTTGCGTATAGAAAATCGATTAAACCAGTGCCCGTACCGAAAATTGCCGGCATATCAGAGTGAATAGAGAAAATAATTCCTGTACGGGGAAGAAAACATCTCTTTAAACGTCTTGAAGATGACGTTAACTCGACGTCATTTAACTAAAGAAAAAATTCGGTATAAACCACTTACGGAGTACGATGAAAATTTACCTTATGGCGGTAAAGTTGTTTTGGCAAAGAAGAAGAAGCCCGACAGCTGGGCAATCGTCGTCTTAGAGGTGCAGTAAATTCTAACTTTACTAATATTAACGCAATCCTATGTCATTTTTTCTTTCAATTATATTTTACAATTGTTTTAAATGTATTTACTCAATGAAAATTATAAATAATATTTTAACAATAAGACTGTGTTAAATATAACAATTATTTAATTTGTATTTGTTACTTATTTATTAAATACCTACACAATGTATTGATTTTGAAAATATTTATTTTTTTGTTCAATTAAGAATTGTTCGTAAGATAGAATAGCGCAAAGAGAACAATGCTTTTTAAAATATTTGTGGCAATAACAATTCTTTTTAATATTATCTGATCTTGGGCACCCAAAACGTTCGATGTCTATATAAATATAGTTCTGGTTTTTAAAACAATATTTTTCTACCTGTCTACCTTTAAATAAAAATAATTCGTTATTAAATTATCTCACAACGTATAAGTTTTGTACATTAATATGTTCGATCCAATGATTTTTCGTCTATAAAATTTAATCCAAGAATGTTTTTGGTAGTAAAATCAACTTGCCATTGATCGTTCGCTGATAATTGATACTTTTTAACAGAATCTTTATAAATGTCTATTACAGCTTCCATAGGACTGTGTAATGATTTTATGGCTGACTGTCGATAAATAATTTCACGATCTTTAACTTGAAATGCTTCAAAATATATTAGCATTCCATTCTGTAATTTTATATAAATAAAAATTAGGATTAATATTATTTTATATTTAATAAGAAAATGACAAAAAAAATATCATACATAAATATTTTTTACTGGACGTATAGAATATTCATTGATATACCAAATGTTGTCTTGCCTTCCTATTTTTGATATTATATCACGATTATATACAATTATTTCTTCCATTTTATCAAATTGTTAATGGGAAATCTATAAAAATATAATTTTTATAGATTTCCCACAGATTTGAAATTTATGTTGTAATTTGAAATGAAACTTATGTTTTTAAAATTAAAAAAATTTTGTTACCAAAATGAAATGAACGTAAGATATAATACGAGAATTTAACTCAAATTGTACAGTAGCAATAATAATAATACAGTAGAGCATCGATTATCCGACTCAATTGGGGACTGGAGTTGGTCGGATTACTGAAAAAACGGATAACCGAAAAATATGAAAAAATACATTACAGTAGAGCATCGATTATCCGACTCAATTGGGGACTGGGGTTGGTCGGATAACTGAAAAATATTTAAAAATACATTATTAGTATAGTATATTAGTATATCGCTATTAACCTACTTCGCGTTGAATTTTCATCGATGTTAAGCCTAACAAAAATTTTTTAAAAATAATAATCATCGCTATTGTATCATTAAAAATTAGAAAATTAAGCCTCGTTTAAATACTGGCTCCCTTACATGGTCGAGCCAGTGTTGCCAGCTAAAACACGTAAACATACTATTAAAGTAGCCAAGACATAGCCAAATATTGTAGCGCCACATCACTAGCGGACATTTGAATTTGCGGACTAGAACGGTCGGTTAACCGAAGCGACGGTTAATCGGGGGTCGGATAATCGATGCTCTACTGTATTTAAAAAATGGTTTTTCTTTAAATTGAATTTATACTGTGATCAAACCAACTCATTAAACTTTGAATTACTATATGGTTTATATTAAACCACAATTCCTTTATTTCTTTGAAATAATATTTATTTAACTGATAAACTATAATTAAGGGAGAATTTAAATATATTAAACTTTAATAAATGAAACTCTAGTTATACATGTGTTTTTTTTTATTATAAACTCATCTCACCTCAATGTAAATTATTAGGCTATATATCAACAAACTTTAAAAATAAATTTTACAACAATAAGATAATTTATTTTAAAAACAACTTATTTAATTAAATTAACTAAAAAATATAATAAAATTGTAAGAAGATCTGTATTTGTTATACATTATAATATGTACAGTACAATTCGATTAGTTTTAAATATATTTTAAAAAATTTATANATATCTTTTAAATTAAGAATATAATTTAATTTTTTTTACTTAATATAAAAGACTTTTTTATTTAAATTTGTTTAGATTAAAAAACATTAAATAAAATTAATGTAATCATTATTTTATGATTATTTTAACAAGGATTCCATTTTGAAAATATAAAGATGTATTCTTTTGATATTTAGTGTAAATAAAATGTTGTTTTAAATTTTTTCTTGAAACTATCACAATAGTATTATTATTTAATAACTTTTCCCCCTTCGAAAAATAACAATTTGAGTTTCATAAATAACAATATATTTTTATGAGACAGTAAAATAACTCACAAATCAGTTATTTAAATTTTATTCTTACTTTATGGCAGAACATCTATTTAAAATTAATTATTATTTTATTTAAATTAGTAACTATTAGTAAATGAAATGGCTATTTAAAGTTAATACTTATATACTTACAAAAATAATACAAGTACTATTTGATCATCTAAATATTCTTTTATTAAATTTAAAATGAGCTTTTCTATTAATAAAATAGTTTCAAAAATTATATTCAGTTTAGATTTTATAAAATTTGTGATAGTAATGATTTGTGAAAATGATTTTATAGTAAAAATTGTTAACATTGACTATGATAAATTGTATGCTAATAATTTTATTAAGCTGAAAAATAATTTAGATTGAATTTGCATAAAAATTTTAAGTAATAGTTATTAGATTTAATGAATAATTCACAAATTTTTTTTACTATGATTATTTAATTAATTATTTTGATAAAATTATTACATTAATAATAATGCATTAAGTAATTTTTCATTTTAATTTGGTATAAAAATATATCATATTTACTGAGACTAATGTTTTATTGCTAATAAATTCAAAATTGTAATATTCAATAAATAAATGGTTTATTAACAAACTTATCTCATTTACAATTTTAAAATTTTCTTGTAATTATCTATATTAATAATGATAGATTTATTTAATAGATATCAGCCCTTCTCCTTGTAAGTGGTCTTCTCTACTACACATATTATTATTTTGATCATATGCATTTTCATGTTACTCACTTTTATGCTAAAATTGGCCATTCTTATGCTCAACATGCAATTGGGCAAAAATATTTAGATGGTAAGTATCAGTGTTGATGTTATTTTAAAAGTTTTAAATTTTTATTAGAACTAAATTTTTAATTTAATTATACATCTATGTTTTTGAATTTTTATAGGCAAAGGAGTTGAAAGAAATCACACAGCTGCATTCCAATGGTTTAGGTGATTTTCATATATAATTGTAATTTATTTTTAAAATAAGTATGTTTAAAATTTTTCAATTACCAAATATTTAAAATATATAAATTTTACAATATTTTACAATCTGTTATTAAAAATAATTTATCAAAATTATTTATGAACACAGTACAGTCTTGTTTTATGCAAGAGCTGCATGTCAGCAGGTACTGTGTAAAATAAATTTTGCGTAACTTTGCGCTTTACCCCAAGTAGTCCTGAATGATTGCCTAGACATTGTGCAATTATTTACAATTAATAGAAAAACATTAAAATGTGTTTAAAAACATAGGTAAAACATTTTACTTTAATGAATAACATTTTAGTCTGATGTTTCTGAATATACAAAGCAAAGTTTTATTATACTGTATCATTATATCATATAAAGTTTTATTATACTATTTATACTACTTGATAAAGATACATGCAATCTAGGGTATAAACTAACCTAATAAATGAGTAGCATTCAGTAGTTCTAGTTCTCTTTGTTCAAAATGTTAGAATCTGGAGAAGCATGGTTTAAGACTCAGATTCATTAATAGCATTAGATTAGAGTATAAATAATTAGAATTACTTGTGATTCAATGATTAAACTAATCATGACATCTAAACATAAATCTGTATATCAGTCTGGAGAAAAACAAGACATTACTGGTTTTTCTTTTGTGTATATTCATTGATGAAAAGATTTCACATTCAGATAGAATTGTTTGATTACTGCAAAACTCGGTATAGAGCTATGTCTCAGACAAGCATATAAATTATTACAGATATGGTCTGATTGCATGTCATGTAATGCCACTAGATAGGCCAACCATCTTTCATTGAACTATAATATCCTCCCATCCTCCTTTTATTAATTAACAAGTACACCAGAGGTGGATAAAAGGAGTAAATTGCTCTGAGCCCCAAGGAATTAGGAGCCCTTATATAATGTGTTTTTTATTTACTTTCTTATTACTATAGGCTCCCAATGTGTATTTTGCCACAGATCCCCATTACCCTCTGGACGGCCCTGTTCATAATGTCCATTTTTATTAGGATAATTTTAGTTGTTTGTATTTGTTTAAATTTACTTTGTTATCTCCAAAATATTACCAGCACACAGCATTTCAATATTTTATGTTTTCTTCTAAAGTACCAATGGCTGAGTGCATAAAACCACTGAACACACTGGTTGTGGGTAGCTGTTTTATTCTTGTAGCAAACGTTTAGAAACAATTCACTATATCAACGATTCCCAACCAGGGGTACATGATAGGTTGTTTAGGGGTACAGAAAAAAGTTAGTTATTATGGTAGAAAAAATAATATATTATGTATCACAAATTAATAGTATTAAAAAATTATTAGGTAAAATATGTTCCTTGCAACAATCACAAACTTTATTATACATTTCTAAATGCAAAAATAGAAATAAAAACTTATGCTGCCGATTGTACAATGCAACAGATCAATAAATGTTGTGCAGTCGGTCAATGGTAGTGGGGATACCATTATGTGTGATTAGTGATTATGCTACAGACTTTTGATGGTGGGGTATGTTACCATTATTATTATTATCTCTCAAGAATATCCCCATGTATTGTTTGAAAAACATATTCTTTTGTTTATAAAAAGTATTTTTTATTGTTACAAGAAAAAGGACATAGCTAGTTTGTTTAGATATATGTGCACTACATCCTTAGTTACATTTTCCACTATCCCTGAGAACACTTCAAACCTCAATGAAGCAAAACTCCTCAGAATCACCATGAACCAAAACATGGGAAATATTATTGAAAAGTTAATTTATAGATGAGCTAGGAACTAACCACCTCTGCATAAATGATAAAAATGCTCAGTGTCTACTCATCAGTATGAAAGTACATTATATGAATTATGTTGCAACTGCCAATGTCAATGTATTCAGTTATTTTTATTTTATTTGTTTTATCTTTTATGTTGTTATTATTTCTATTGATATTTGTATAAATGCTTTTATATTTAAATTGAAATTGCCAAATTTCACTATGTGTATGTAAAAACTAAATAAATTTAAAAAAATTTTCAAACTTGCTTCTCATTAATATCGGTTTATTTAATGATACTGTATATTATTGAAATAATAATTTTATTCTTTTGCAGAAAAGCAGCAGATCAAGGTCATCCCCATTCAAGTTATAATTTGGCAGTAGGTCATTTACAAGGATTTAGAACAGATGTAAAACCTGGGTAGGTTTTATACAAAGTCCCATAATTAAGTAAATTGAAGCAATCTTAATAATTCATAAACAACGTTATAAATTATTAATAAGATTAATTACAAAATAGGACAAAAAGCAAATAATTACAATTATTTAGAATGTTTCTTTCATTTAAAAAACAAAACATATTTGTCATTTGCATAAAAGTTGTGAAAGTGAAATTGTACATAAAGTAATTAACATTTGATGAAATGTTTTAGAATAATAAATCATACTCAATGTAAAAAATTCATCTGATATTATAGTTTCTAATTTTATAAATTTTTTAATCAAACAGTTTTTTCCTCCTCTCTCTAAAAGAAATTGTGACGCATTGTCTATTTTTAGACTATGTACAGTACCACATTTAGACTAAACATGTTTCATGTTCAAAATTAATATCAAAGATTATTTAAGAATTTTTGAAATTAATTTTAAATCCAACTTTTTTGCCAAAAACAAAAATATTTTTGACTTCATTACTTGTATCAATTACTACTGAGATATTTTTTACAGGAGATAAAATGATAAAGCCAGCATCATTAAATTTTTAAGAATTGAACAATCAAGTGATGATAAAATTTGTAGATTTAGCTTAGTTGTCAGAAATGATATCTTGACAAAAAAATTATGGTCACCACATTCTCTTTGGTATATTTTATATAAATAAAACAAAAAAGGCAAGTTCTCTGAAAAAACACATAAACAAACAGTTTATTTGCAGAATTGTATTTCATTTCTTTACATAGTTTTTTTACAAGTTTTGATTTTTCATTTCTTGAAATGACCAAGGAGAAGAAAATAAGGAGCTATACTTTGACAAATAAAAGTTCTAGTCATAAAATAATTTAAATTAGATGTCATCAATTATATCAATTATATATTATTCAATTATATCTACAAGGACTTAGGAAAGTAAGTTAGAAGTCTTTAAGTCTTTTGTTTGGCCATGCAGAACTATTGAGTAAAAATTTTTTGTTGTTTTGAAAACAAAAAAATTTAGAAGAAATGTTAACTTTTAGCCTAATTGCAAAAATATTTATGTCTTGTAATATTTGACCCTACAGCATTATAAGCACATTTGAGCCTTTGGTCTCTCATTTTCATCCATTCAACTTAAAAATCAAACAAAATCAAACAAATCTGCTGTAATATGTTCATTCATCTGCAATCCTCATCATCTAGCTTTTTCCACAGGTAACTCTTGCATACCTTATACCCAATCTGTTAATGATCTTGGTATTTTATTTGATGGCAAATTAACATACAAACATTAGATTAAAAACATAATTAAAGATATATTTATTAGATGGGGCATAATGTGAAGACTGCAGGTCAATCTTTTCAAAACAAGTTTTGCATTTGCTATTTTTTTATACAGTACAAATTTTCAATCTTTAATTGCTTACTGTTTACTTGTGATGTACAGTACTATCCAAGTTAAGTTGTATAACTGCTGAATTACACAAGATTTTACTAAAATAAAAACTACACCTTTATCAATCCAGCAAAATTTAATACGATAAAAACGTTTTCAATCGTTTTAAACAATCTTCATCAGTTACAGAAGAATAGAACATTAAAAATAGAACATAAAATGAAGATTGTTTAAAATGATTGAAAACGTTTTTATTGTATTAAATTTTGCTGGATTGATAAAGGTGTGTAGTTTTTATTTTATTCTGTATCCAGTACATATTCCGTTATATGCAAGATTTTACTTATCATATCAATATAATAAACTTTCCCTATATTGATTCCACAGAGCAGCACCTGCTCAAGTATTTATGTCGCCCCGGACAAAAAGACAAATTTCCACCCCTTAAATTTATTTAGAGAGAAACATGTAATATAAAATTAACAATCAAGTAGTACAAAACAGTAAAAATTAAAATATACCTTTACCTAGTTAGAAATTGTTAACTAGATGCATTTTTAATGATATTACAAAAATGTATTATTGTACAATCAAACAAAAAACTTATATCCTATAAAAACTAAACAAATGTACATCAATTATACTAAAATCAAAAGAAACTTTTTTCTCACTTTTAGTTCTGCAAACTATTTTATTGATTCTTTTAATTAATTAATTAAGTTTACTTGATCAGCAGTTTCATGCACAATTGCCAAAATGGCTAAACTATTAAGATGATTTTGCACAGTAGTGGAACATAAAAAGTTTTTAATTAATTTTTATTTAGAGAAACTCCTTTCCCCCACTAGCTACAGTATGATCAACAGTATTCTTAAGGTGACACTAAGGTTTGGGACAAAATTTAACATTGTTGCTTATTGTTGTAACTTATCTGTTTTAACTTGATCTGACTATCAGTGATCTGATCTGATCAAAGGTGGAAATTCCAACATACCTTTCAAATGTCTGGGAGAGTTCTCGTATAGACGTCACCCCAGTCAGTTGTATTGAGAGGGAATAGAGTTAATTGTTAATTAACTAAGTGTTTTTATGTGAAACAGTGTCAAAAACAAAATCGATATAAAACTATGCTTTTCTTTTTGCCCAAAAGCCCTCTTTTATGGTTGTTTTCTTCAGAATCAAGGAATGCAAACATTTTATTAGCTTTTAGGCAAAAATAATAAATACAAAATGTAAACAGTAATTTTAGCCACAGAAAAATTTGACAAATATAAATTTTGATTAATGAAGTATATAACTTATAAATATTTTGTCACATTCACAACCAAAATGCTGCCCTTTAGATTTGCTGCTCTGGACAGAGGTGGCTTACATGAGAATAGAATTTCTTGATTGTTTTTTTTTTTATTAAATTAACTATTTTGAATGTATACTCTTTATAAATATATTAATGGTATTATACCTCCAGATGGAGTGGGTCTTCAAGTACAGATTCAAACCACACACAAAACCTCTTGTCTTCATATCTATAGACTGATTGTATGTAAGGCAATATTCTTATTTTGTTTGCACTGTTCATTCTTTGGGGCACTTCATCTGAATTTTTTTATTAATTTTAATAAGTTATGTAAACAAAGGTTTTGCCATATGTAATTTATTTAATATATTGGTATATAAAAATAATTAAAAGCTATTTATTTTTAAATCTGTTTTTTTTTCTGTTACTTTTTTTTTTTTTTGTATCTTTCACTATATTTCATATTATTGCCTTTGTCTTCAAGATTCTTGTTTGGGGAGCTTGTTCCTTGAAGCATTATCTTTTGTAAATTCATTGAATAAATGTATAATAAGTCTTATATGGATAAGAATTAATTAGGGCAAGCTATAAGTTAAGTTTCCAAGCAAGATTTTAATTATTGCATTAAAATAAGACTTGAAGTCAGCTAAGTAATCTAGGATTTCATTCAGTTTATTATCCTATAACATATTCTTTTTAATTTTTCTTACATATCAGATATGTTCTCAGATATGAAATGAATATGATATTGGTTGAAAAAAAAGACTGTGCAATGTAACAGATTTTTGATAAAAAGGTGTATCATGCATATTTTGGTATAAAGCTTGGATGCTCCCACATCAAGTTTTTCAGGTATTTTGAATAACTAAAAAAAATGGAGTCAAAGCAAGAAAATCTGCTGTATTATTCAAATTGCTTTTTGTCTGTTGTCTTATTTCCTATGTTTGTGCTAGAACACTTTACCTACAAACCTTTTCCTATTCAGTTGGATAAGTCCATCTATAGGAAAAGTGCACTAGCACAAAACGTAGGAAGAAAGAAAATCTCTCTTCATTTACTACTCCAAATGATATAGCAGGAGTCAGCAAGTCATGAGAAATATTATTTTTGTTTGATCATAACCATAAAGGGATACAATAGGAAAAACAGAAAGTAGTGTCTCCCAAATGACTACTACTGTTGTCAGGCCTATACTGTATTTTCCTGATTTTCTTGTATTATCACTTCCTAGATTATTAGATTTTTTCATCAGAATCAGAAGTTTAGTTATAGTGAAGTGAAAAGTCTTAAATGTTTTATTTGAAGGAAAAGGAAAATGATTTTGTAAGAAAATATTAATTTTATTTTTATATTTTTATTTCATTAACTCTATTTTCTATTCACACAAGTGATTTGTAGGTCTAAATAAAATCATTGTGAGCTCCTTATTCAGCTGTTTTTTTATTACAAGTATTAATACTTGCAACAAGAAAACATGACCTATATATATAATTATATTTTTGATCTAAATTAATCTTTTTGTAAGATTCTAGTCAAAGCATACAAACTTTCTGTCAAGGATAAATTATGTTTCGTAATATTCATACAAATGTATAACTAGGAAGAAAAGCAAAATGTTTTAATTAATTCTTACTTTATAAGTTTTGTATGTTTATTTATATATATAACAATTACTTAAACATTTCCTTCTTTGATTATTATTATAGAAGGAAATGTCCAAATAATTGAATTTATAACTACTATTGTTTATTCAAAAAATATTTTATTTATCATTGATTATTTAGACAATCACCATTCTTTACAAAATAATTGTTTTATTTTGATAGGGAAAAGAAAAATATTTATAAAAAATTATATGAGAAAAACAGAATTATTTCTGAAAACATTTTTATATCATTTGTTAATAAATTGGTAACCATTATAAATAATGCAACCATACCTTATTTCTTTATTCTTAGAAAAATTAGGTATACTATTGAATTATTTTTTTAATAACTTTTATTTTTATATTCCTTATTGATTTTCTACATGCAGTAATTAGTTAAAGAAATTATATAAGTAAAAAATGCTTTAGAAAATTTAACAGCTCTAAAAATTAATTTATTTGGGTATTGTTTTTTATGAATAAATTTCAATAATGGATTAAACTTTTCAGTAAAGCAATAAAGTCTATTTTTTAAGCTACTGATGCAATTACATTTTCTATATTAATATTAAATTAAAAATAATTGTTTTTATATATCTGAGTCAAATATCAATTTTTAATTAAATATTTCAGAGAAGCACATGATCTCATCAAACATGCTGCTAAACATGGAGTGGAAGAAGCTCACGAAATACTTGAAAAAGTTTGTTCCATTGGCCATTGTGATCACTGATACCAGAATGCCTTTATAAAAATTATTTTTTGAAATAAGAAACAATGAATTTTATAGGCCATTGTTATAAAAATAATTTATGTATATTTTGTAATTAGATACTGTTCATGTTCACAAATTGCAAAAGTATTGTATTAATTTTAATTTAACATCTATATAATAAATGCATTAATAAATATTAATATATAAATATTCTTTCATATTTATTAATATATCAATTGAATTTTGTTTTGTATTGTTGTGTGTACAGTACAGTATGTATTGTACAAATATAAAAACAGATTAGAAGACATAAATCATCTATTAATAACGAAATTACACAATTAGAAATTAACTAATATATCCTAATGAAAGTTTAACAAAGTTGTCACATATCTTAAACTTTTAATAAGATATATTCATATACAATTATTTTTTATGAATAAACAAAAGATATCAACGAAGGCTAATAATAGAAAACAAGCAAAGACAAAAAACATAGGCTAATAATTGTCCTATATTAGCTACTATTTGAGAAATAAATAGCTTATTGATTGGGTTTTCATAAGGTTATACCATTGTAATTACTATGAATCCATTAACAATTTCATAACAGCTGTGAAAAGACGTCATAGTTTATCTAACAAAGAATTAAAATACACGCGATCTGTCATTAGTAGGATTTCCCTATTGTTTATCGCTCAAACTGGGACAATTTTTAATAGTAATGAGAAATGATCTGAAGATGGCTAAACTTCATTTTTCAAAAATAATTAATAAACTGGTTATATTGTATTAGAAGACTTAGAATAAAATTCTAAATAGAACCATTTTATATTTTTGAAGGTCAAGAAATCGGGACATAGGATCATTGTAGTCATCAATCAATCAGTAACGCTTATTCTTTTCATTTTTAGACAGTATCTCTCTAGAGTTACCAAAACATTAATTAATACAAACGAGTTTACTTAGGTCTAACAATGTGGTTTCAGAAATCATTTCTAATTAGATTCTTTTTCATGCATGAAACGTTATTGATGAGAAAATAAATGATTTAGAGAGTATCCTCTTTTAAAGGAGGTATGACAATTTGTATGACAATAATAAAATACTGCATCTACAAAATATTGTGATTTATGTAAATCATATTGATGAAGAATTAAAATTTGAAGTAGAGGAAAAGAAAGAGAGAAAATGAACATGTTTGATTTTTTTAATTATCAGATCTAAATAACGAGTTGCTTAACTTTCCCAGCTACAACATTTAAAACTTTATGCAACACCATCAGTTACAATATGTTATTAAAAAACTTTTATACATTGTTAATTATTATAAAATGGTAAAAAGCTTAATTTTGAGGGTACAGATGAGTTTTATAAAATGCGAATGAAATCATCAAGTCTGATCCTAGTCGAGATATGTCACATGACTTCCCTTTATCTACCCAACCAAGAAATGCAGTTGTTTACAATTAATAAAAAGATGACAACCCAGAGATGTTGCTTGCACATTGTTTTTCACAGAGAAAATTTAGTTTCTAAAATGCTTTCATCTGCCTAAAATGAAAGAACTACTTTTATTTTCCACCTTGTGTTAATACATTCAGTTATAATATGTATCAACTTTATCAAAGCGAATGCCAAATGTGAACGTCTCTTCAAACAGTTTTGTGAGGATAAAAATGCTGAACACAACAGGCCATTGCTTCATACTGAAATAAGATGGCTGTCACAGGGGAAGTGCCTGAAGAGATTCATGGAGCTATTTGATATTCTTGGTGAGTTTTTGAATGACAAACCTGAAATGACAATCTTAAAATCAGTTAATGGTCAAGCATTTCTGAGTTATTTGACAGACATCTTCGAAAAATTAAATATATTAAATAAACAACTGCAAGGAGCAAACAAGACCTTTATTAATGTGAAATCCAAGATATTTGGCTTCATTGGACTTCTGCAATTGTATAAAAAATGTTTTAGACAAAAAATTTGAACAATTTTATTTGCTAAATAAGTGTGAGGTGACTGATACTGCTATGCTCGTTATTGTTGATCATTTGGATAAATTGGCTTCTGACTTAAATGATTTATAGATAAGATTTATAGATTTAAAAGATATTGCTTTCCTACCTTGGATAACTTAACCGATGTTGGTAGATATAACTGATGTGACCATGCAGTATCAAGAAGAACTATTAGAATTGCAAAATGATGAATCTTTTAAAACACTATTCAACATAAAAAATACGATGGCGTGGCTGTGTGTCGAGACAGAAACAAAATACCCAATTATGACAAGTTTAGCAAGAAAATTACTATTGCTATTTCCATTGTCATATTTAGTTGAGTGTGGGTTTAGCACTGTAAATGATTTGTTATTGAAAAAAGAAATTGTCTAGATATCACAAACTGTGGAGATTTACGACTAAAATTGACCAAATTATTACCTCACATAAAAACTCTTTGCAGCACACATCAGTACAAGGATCTCACTAATTTATATGTTATTTTCTTCAGAGTTGTACATGTAACATGACACATATATACTTATGTAATAATAAATTAAAAATAGTATTGATTATGTGCACTTTTTATTTGAAGTTCCCATCAATTTTTTTTTTTCAGAATTTGTTAACTATAAAAATTATGATAGGGGGCATGGAGATTTTTGAAGCTTTGAAGTGGGATTCACTTATATAATGGAAAAAAAAAATTCAGAAAACTAAAACTTTATGAAAAACTCCAATCAAAATTATTTTATATTAATTTATGCACTTCAATTCTATGTATAGATTCTGAAACTTTATTTGCTGTTTTTTCATATTCATATTATTATTGTTATTATTATTATTATTTAGCAATTTCTTGATGATTTTCTGCTCAGTACTTGAACTGTCCTTTCCTTTTATTTTTATTTTTCAAAGACGCCATGTTTTTTGTCACAGAGGGGACATTAGGATTTTAAAGATACTTTGGTGGGGCATGGCCAAAAAAGATTGAGAAACACTGGGCTAAGCCAATATACTATACCACGAATATATCATGTACCTTTTCTTTGAAATTAAACGGTTATTTAGTAGTTAACCTTAATGCCTGAGTGCATTACTTCGGTCGTGCTGCCTCACAATCTCCACCCTTAATTAACCCGATCGCTTACACACGCAGCAGTTATCGTGACCTACTTTCAAAACAAAAAATTCGCTTCCGTGTCGAACGGGACACGGTGGTGTCAGTCCTGACGAGGCATCAAAGAGGTGCCGACCCTCCGGTCACAATTACTTTAGAATAAATGAATTGGACATCTGTAAATTTCATTTTTATTATTTTATTTATTACAAAAAAAGCATTATTTTAACTGTTTAAAGTTAAATATTTAATAAATAATATATTTATATTATATACAGTGGATGATCGGTTAACGAACAGTTCGGACTGCGAACAAATCGGATAACGAACACTTTCGCGAAAGATTTTTATGTTCGGATAACGAACACTTCATAGAACAAACAAAAGAAGCGACATAAAATAACGAATACCGATTGGTTTTCCCTTGTCTCCAAGTAACAATTCGAAACTTTACGGAGTGCGAAAGACGCTCAACCTGATACCAATCAGATATTATTCCTCCGAACTTTGAAACTCTCCATTGTAATTCCAGTTCTTTGTTTACTTTTCTGGCATAATTTTTTTATAGTCTTTGCGAGACTGTTGGGCACTCGTTAAGTTTTGCGTCGGTTTTTATTTTCCAAAGGTGAGAGTTTAACTGTCCTGTCGGATATTTAACACCAAAATTTATTTTGAATTTCATTCGGGCCTCACATTTACATACAATAATTCTTTCGTGTGCTAGTTGATTTCTGTTCACTGAATTTTTGTGAGTGTTTTTCTGAACTTTTTATTTCAAAAAGACATTGATAATATTTTAAAGCCTAAAAAAGAGTGGAGAGTCAAGAACCGTGCTCACCTTAGAAACCAAGCAAAAGATAATAGGCTTGGGGATCTCTATAATTACTATGCTATTAATTATTTCCGAAAAATCCTGAAGTAGAGAGAAAAGTAATCGACATTGGACAGATTCTTTAACGTCCACAACCGGAAAGAATATGACTAATAAAATTGCAAGACTGTGTATATATGTATTTTATTATTACATATAAATAAACGTAGTAAGAAAGTATATATTTATTTTTATTTTTTGGAGTCTCCAGAACGAATTAATCAAATTCCCATAAAAACATATGGTAAATCGATAATCGGTTAACGAACAATTCGTATAGCGAACAGTCTTGGAACGGATTCTGTTAACCGATCACACACACTGTATATTTAATATAAATACATATATTGTATAGATATTTATTTATTTATTAAATATATTTAATAAATATTATTTTTATAAAATAATCCTTTTTGAAATATTTCAAACTGATTGACGCTTTCACATAACACGTGACGTAAAAACACGACGGGATCGTAACACGTCACGCGTTGTTAGAAATATAATCTAACAATACGTAACGAATTGTTACAATGTATTGTTGGCTTTTTCTATTGTGCATGGCCATTGTTAAGTTTAATTTTTTTCGTAAGTTCCGCGTTTTGTTCTTTTCTTTCAGATTTCCTGGAAAAATTGTAATCAAATAAGCCAGTAATGTACGGAGGTATAAAAAGAGATATAACCTCAGGATAAGACAATGTTCAAGTAATAGTATAAGAACGACGATGTAAGTTTTAAAAAAAGGTTTAAACAAATTTTTATCAATTGTCGAATTGCATTATCGAAATTAATTCTAATTATAAGCCAGTAATGGAAAAATTTTAATCAAATAAGCCAGTAATGTATGGTTCTCCGTGTCTCGCTTCTTTAAGGCCCGCTCAGATGAGGTTAGGAGATGCCTCCCGTTGGCGTCTTCTGACTTCATCCGAGCAGGTCTTGAAGGAACAGCACACAGAGACACCAACGGGGCTCTCTGTGTTCTCTCCATCTCCCGTATAGTAAATAATTATAAATATTTTCATTGTGTGAGTTAGGAGGAATGAAACTCGACAAGAGATGTCAGTCATATGTGGAGTGGCATTCTTTCCAACTCTTGGTGGAACTCTGAGGCAGCCACCTCCACGTGGTGAGTTCTCGGTTGTCGTTCGTCTAGAAATGACGAAGGGCAAGCGAAGAGCTGCTTGTTCCCTTTCAATTGTATAATAAGAAATGAAAACATGCCAATAAAAGCAGAAATTACAAAAGTAATTAAAGTTAGGAGAATTAAGTATCTAACTTCGGTATAAATGACTTTAAATTTTGTCTAAATGTTAATTCCTTTGTTTCAATCGTGATCGTCAACTAACCCGGGTTAGCTTTATAGCAATAAATTCGCATTATGGTTGACTACAAAATTATAACTAGGCTACGTGTTCGATGCAATAAGATGAACTTAATAGCAAAATTGTCGACTTGCTAATAAAACAACGATAAAAAAATTAACGCAAGTCGTTACCAACGTGATAAAAACACAGAAAACTCCTCGTATCCAGCCCGTTGGCAGTGTTCGAATCCACAACAGCCTATCGTTGTTTATTGATTTTATCCATTCGGCTGTTGCTGGACAGCTTTCTTATGCCATTTGATGTTGAATTCTAGAAGTATTTTGGTGTTTCGTTGGAAAAGTCGAGTACAAAATAAAATTTGTGCAAATAATTTAAATTTATTATAAACTGCTGATAAGTAATTTACAATTGTTCTTCTTGTGATTTATTAATTCTAAAATTGAAATATTTTGTTAAATACATTCTATTATATTAATTCCGGGTTTCCGGACGGAGTCCGTATTGACCCTTTTGGGGTCGAAGAAAGTTTGCGAGAATGACTGAAACTTGGCAAATATTTAAAATTTTAGACATTTTTCTTGCTCTTAAATAAATGTAGGATGTCTTTTAAAAATTATATAAGAGGTTATGGCATATATATATAGTATATATATTATATATTATCAGATAAGCCCGGCGTTGCTCGGCCAAAAAATAACAACAGCAAAGATTAAGATTGTTAAGTTTTATGCCTTTGTGTCCTTATCTTTTGTTTTGTACTTAAAGAATCTTAAAGAAATAATTTTAAAAGGTAATTATATGAATACAGCCACATAGTAGTAAAAAAGATAGAATGAACAATAATACAGGAAGGGAAATACACCAATCATGGGACATAATCATCGACAGAGAAAATAAAGGGTGGAGGTATAAAAAGAGAAATAACCTCGGGATAAGACAATGTTCAAGTAATAGTGGAAGAACGATGATGTAAGTTTTAAAAAAGGTTTAAACAAATTTTTATCAATTGTCGAATTGCATTGTCGAAGTTAATTCTAATTATAAATTAAACTATACATAAACCAAAAAAACAACACCTTAATTTGCTGAGAAAAACTTTTAATGAAAAGCTAACGTTTTCAGCCAAATCTATTGGCCATCTTCAGGCTAAGTTTTCCATATGAAAATCGTGAACTAGACATTAATAAAAATTATATTGGTGTCACTAACAGAAATTTAGGGGTCAGATTAAAAGAACACAAATACAATATCAGTAAGGGATCTAACGCCACAATACTATCGCAAATGGCGCAAGTTGAGGGCTCAATCGTCAAATGGGACGAAGCAAGTATTATTAAACCGGTACATTCACCAACTTTGGCGATTTGCGCAGAAAAGATTGAAATATACAAGAGCAGATTACATGATGCATGCATTAATTCTAGGGATGCTGAAGGGTTGCCTTCCGCCTGGAAGTACTTAATCAAGCGATTGGACAGATCTTAATGCCTTGTTTTTAGTGTTTTTTTNTTTTTGCATACCTTTTTAATACGTATTTAATTGCGGCTCGCGAAAGATTTCAAATTTTGAAAAATGGCTCGGACTATCAAGGAGCTTGGCCACCCTGGCTATAGAACGTTATGACGATCAAAACATAACAAGTAAAACGCCAAAGCCATTTTTGGGACGAGATTGTGTCTCGGAGACTCAGTGCTCGACTGCGCACCCTTTTCTAAGGAAAATAGAAAAATGAGCACTCTCCAATGAGGAAAAGCCGACACCGATACTCGGGGTCATGACGTAGATTTTGGTGGGCTTCGTTGCCGCCGTGGTTACGACGGGTTGCATTGTCACGAGTCTGTTCTTGGCTACGGTAAGCGGAATCACTTGGACGCTCACGGTGGGTCTCGTTCTCATTCTCCAATCTTCTTTGGTATCGCTGGTTTTGAGCGCAATCGTTCAAACTTCGCCGGTCTCGGCCACGAGGTCGTCCACGAGGTTTTCTGTGAAATTAATGGGTCAAAGGGATCCGAATGAGGTGTCAGCAACACACAAGAAAATCGAAATGACGAGAGCAAGAGAATACACGCGTAACGTGTATCATATGTTTGTCAAAATCCGATTTCGCAACGTTCGCATTTCGAACTGCCTAACGAGAAACGTATGCACAAATCTCGCACTCTCACCTGTTCGTAGAAACAGTGTCGCCATTTTGAATTTTATTTTGACTCGGTTTTCGGTCCCGACTATCTACAAGTCTGGTTTTTTTATGTGCGCATGATTTGGGCACCAAATACTCTGTGCCAAATTGCAACTCCTGACATGTATTCCTTCGTGCCTGTAAGGTGTCGAGCCGTTGACAGCAGCACGATTTATAAACGAGACGTTGTCTCCTCAAAAACCTTGTAACATTATCTTTACTTACATAATAGAAACACAATCGACAAACAAGCAAAATTAAATTTTATTTCCCTCTTGAAGATGTAACTAATCGTTTGCTAGTTAGATTTGACAATCGAAAAATAATTTATTTGCAAAATAAAGGTCTACATATTTTTTTTTCTGTTGCAGTTAACTTTAGAAAAATATGGTCGATTTCAGAAATGCATTGTCGAAATTAATTTTAATTATAAATTAAACTATACATAGATGATTTATAATGAATAATGTATAGTTTAACATTATTATAAATATTTATAATTTCATTATAGTCTGTTCAAAAATTGAAGTTTTCGTCGAATTCTGATTTCGTCAATAAGGAAATTACAATAATACGAGGATTTAAAAGACCAAATTAATTTTATTTCCTAAAAATATTTCAAAGTGCAAGTTAATTACTAAAAACCATCCAATTGGCAAAAAAGTAAAGAAATAAAGTTTATTATGCTATTATAACTTATTTTCCTCTCTTTCTTTTAATCGTAATTTGAATCTTTGTACTTTTCCACTTATCGTTCTTGGCAAATCTTCTACAAATTCAATCTAAAAACAAAATAATTTAAGTGGCTTAATTAATTAAACTTTTAATATAATAATATTTATACTTACTTTTCTAGGATATTTATAAGGAGAAGTAATATTTTTAACGTGATCTTGTAACTGTATTATCAATTCTTCTTTATCAGCGTCATTATATTTCTCAGTTAGTATTATGAAAGCTTTAACTACCTAAAAAAATTGATTTTAATTAATTAATTCGAGATCACCGCTTTTGTAAATAATTGGATTGAATTCTTTACACGACACGACTCGACTCGTTATACAGCCGAAAATATATAATTCTTTCAGAATTATTCCCACTTCCTCAGCTTTTTACTTACAAATATAATCACACACGAAACACTTGCTTAGCTTATTATTAATTTACTATTCAAACGCTTTCAGCCTACTTCTAATAGGCCATCCTCAAGAAATTACTGTTCTACTATCGAATACAAAGCTTTCGAACACTTTCAGAACTGATTACAGAATTATTAATAAAAAATATAAGTAAAAAAAGTTAAATTGATTTTTTACTCTGATTGATTATATAAAATAAAAAAGTTCAATTCAGTCTATATATATATTTTTTGTAAATTAAAAGTTAAAGATTATCAATAAGATACGTTCTAACACCTTTACCTCTGTTCATTTCAACAAAATATAACAAAGTATATTAAAAAAACACTTAAGAAAAATTTTTGAGTATAATATAAAATAAACATTAACACGATAGAGATTTTTGCAAGTTTCCTTGCTGCTTTAAAAAATTTCTTTCTTTCTCTTGCATTTCTGTCATATTTTGCCAAAGAAAAACAAATTATAATTAATAATAAATTTAGAGTAACTGTAACTTTATCTAAAACTTGTGTTAATTACAGGAATTATTACATCATAAATATTGCAACGGCCGGATGGTCGATGTGGTTAACTCCTTGGCGTTGGTTCATCTGTATTTTATTTTTGATTATAGTTTTATAAATATTAAAATCAAGAATGTATTTTCCGCGAGAACTATTTGATTGGATAATTATCGTCTACGTATCTTAATATTTATAAAAAGTTAATAAATATATTTATAAATATACTTCTCCTCTTAAAGGATCTGGACTTCCCACAACAGCACATTCTTTTACAGCAGGATGTTCTTGAAGAGCACTTTCTACTTCGAAAGGTCCAATTCTATAGCTATAAAACACGACCAAAATCAATTTATTTCAAATATTATTATAATTTAACAGCTAAATAGTAACAGTACGTACCCGGAAGAACTAATTATATCATCATTACGGCCGATGAACCAAAGATAACCGTCGTTATCTTTATATCCCCGATCGCCGGTAAGATAGTAGCCATTTTTAAATACCTCTTTTGTTTTTTCTGGATTATTCTGTAGATATTAATTATTAAATACATTACATATTAAAATAATAATATATTCTTCGTTTACGCTTTTGGGAATTGAAATAACGATTAATTCTGTTTCTTCCATGTAAAAATTTAATTTATAGTTCCAAGAATTTCGCAACACATTTAATTAATTTGCTTTAAAAATTGAAATCTCAATGCAATGATAAATCTCACCAAATATTCTTTAAACAGTCCAATAGGATAATTTGGTTTTACTTTTACAGCGATTTCTCCTTCTTGGAAAGGTTCCACTTTTTCGTATTTTTCATTTATTATCTATAAAGAAATAATTCTTTGTAACATTTAAGTATCGTTTTAATAAACATTAGAATAACGAACATTTTCTGCACTGTTTTCATTTGAAAAATGTGTTTTTTAATGCACCATTGTAACAAATATATTTTATTTCCTGATAAAAATGTATACGCTTTATTAGTATTGGATATTAGTTAGAATTGGTCCAATACTAACTAATATAAAGCTATAAAGCGATCAACTAACAGAGATCAACTTTTGAACTCGATGTCTGACTCCGTTTCATCACTTAACCTACAAGGTGTGATAAGTCTGTTCAATCAACCAACTTTGGGCTACATCAGAAAGCAAGAAGCGAGAATATTTACAAAAAACATTTTAATTTAATAATGGTTGTGTTATTTACTAAAACACACAATTAATTTAATTACATTTACAAAAACAAATAATATTATTAGAAAATTAATTTACTTTATTAACTATTAGTAGGCCTATATTGGTCACGGAATTCTTAGTGTCAATTTCTTTTGGTAACTATCAAGGGCGACAAGAGAGAAGAGAAACTGGAACTGGAGTTCCAGGACCTTGATCTGTAGATAGGTTCAGATACAGATTTGTATAATAAAATTTTAATTATAAAATCTAAAAAATAAATTTTTATATAATTTTCGTAACACAGTGAAAGAGAAAGAAGACAAATTGAAGGCATCATGTCAGAAAAGGAGGAAGAGTCCAGGAGACCCTCTCTTCGGAGTCCATGATCGCTCTCCGTGGTTCTGGTTATTAAATATTCTGTGGAAAACTTTCTGTTTTAAGCCGAAAAAAATTATTTTTATAATATACAGTGGAGCGAAGATTATCCGAAAATCAATTATTTGAAAAATCGACTTCAGAGTACACTGATTAGACTACAGAAATTACGAAGTTGACAATCTATAGGTTTAATATTGAGTTATGTCGTTATTATTAATTTTACTATTATGTATTTTTTTAAATTTAGAATTCAAAGTTTCATCTGTCCGTACATTGTAGATTGGAATGAAAAACTTGTTCTCAGTTTTAATAAATTAGACACTTTTTTATTTTTAAACATTTCGTATTAATTAAATTTCTATTTCTTAATGTTATAATTTTAATGTATTAGAATTAAAATTAATAATTTTATTTTATTTAAGACCTGTATTTTTTTATTCTTTCTCTACCAGGTTGTCATCTGTTATATGAAATTGTCCCGCCCAATTATTTCGGATAATCGACACTCGATTGCATTAACTATTAAAATTCCGATATTTATTTGAAAATTGATTTTCCTTTCACTAATTTTATAAAACATTCGCAAATCTACAAATTCTGAAACACCGCAACTCCAATCATTTTAAATTAATTACTACGTAGATATAATTTTAACAATAAAATTTAATGTTACCTGAAAAATATGTATAGTCCATAATGTTATAGTAACATACAATATATTTAAAAAATTACATTAATATTTATAATTTTTCAAACAAATTAAAAATTAAAAGAAAATAATTTTTTCCCTTCCATTTTTCAGTGAATTTTGGTTTCTGAGAAAATAATTTTAGCCGAGNTTCCATATAAAAAAGTATACGCTTTATTAGTATTGGATATTAGTTAGAATTGGTCCAATACTAACTAATATAAAGCTATAAAGCGATCAACTAACAGAGATCAACTTTTGAACTCGATGTCTGACTCCGTTTCATCACTTAACCTACAAGGTGTGATAAGTCTGTTCAATCAACCAACTTTGGGCTACATCAGAAAGCAAGAAGCGAGAATATTTACAAAAAACATTTTAATTTAATAATGGTTGTGTTATTTACTAAAACACACAATTAATTTAATTACATTTACAAAAACAAATAATATTATTAGAAAATTAATTTACTTTATTAACTATTAGTAGGCCTATATTGGTCACGGAATTCTTAGTGTCAATTTCTTTTGGTAACTATCAAGGGCGACAAGAGAGAAGAGAAACTGGAACTGGAGTTCCAGGACCTTGATCTGTAGATAGGTTCAGATACAGATTTGTATAATAAAATTTTAATTATAAAATCTAAAAAATAAATTTTTATATAATTTTCGTAACACAGTGAAAGAGAAAGAAGACAAATTGAAGGCATCATGTCAGAAAAGGAGGAAGAGTCCAGGAGACCCTCTCTTCGGAGTCCATGATCGCTCTCCGTGGTTCTGGTTATTAAATATTCTGTGGAAAACTTTCTGTTTTAAGCCGAAAAAAATTATTTTTATAATATACAGTGGAGCGAAGATTATCCGAAAATCAATTATTTGAAAAATCGACTTCAGAGTACACTGATTAGACTACAGAAATTACGAAGTTGACAATCTATAGGTTTAATATTGAGTTATGTCGTTATTATTAATTTTACTATTATGTATTTTTTTAAATTTAGAATTCAAAGTTTCATCTGTCCGTACATTGTAGATTGGAATGAAAAACTTGTTCTCAGTTTTAATAAATTAGACACTTTTTTATTTTTAAACATTTCGTATTAATTAAATTTCTATTTCTTAATGTTATAATTTTAATGTATTAGAATTAAAATTAATAATTTTATTTTATTTAAGACCTGTATTTTTTTATTCTTTCTCTACCAGGTTGTCATCTGTTATATGAAATTGTCCCGCCCAATTATTTCGGATAATCGACACTCGATTGCATTAACTATTAAAATTCCGATATTTATTTGAAAATTGATTTTCCTTTCACTAATTTTATAAAACATTCGCAAATCTACAAATTCTGAAACACCGCAACTCCAATCATTTTAAATTAATTACTACGTAGATATAATTTTAACAATAAAATTTAATGTTACCTGAAAAATATGTATAGTCCATAATGTTATAGTAACATACAATATATTTAAAAAATTACATTAATATTTATAATTTTTCAAACAAATTAAAAATTAAAAGAAAATAATTTTTTCCCTTCCATTTTTCAGTGAATTTTGGTTTCTGAGAAAATAATTTTAGCCGAGCAAAGTCTATTTGTTGCACCGAACGAAAACGATTTTGATTTATATTTTCTAACCTTAACATTTCGTGTAATGTCATTTATAGTTCATAAATTCTGCGATTAAATCATTTTGATAATTGCTTACGTACATCTAACTGAAGAAATGGCGGTGGTAAACCCACTGATCCCGGTTTTTTCTGTTTGCAATGAAGATCCGAACACAGCAATGGCTGAAAATTTAGTTTTAACAGGAATTTTACTTTAGATATGATTAAAATCAGCTATTCTAAAAATAAATAAATATCCATTACTGTCTCTGTTTGTGCGTATCCTTCATATATCATCACTCCAGTTTTCTCTTTCCACGTTGTAAATAAATCTTTTGTCTATAAAGTTAAAACTTATTAACATTGTAATTTAATATTACAAATATAGCTTATTGTATACAAATCAAATATAAAATGGTAAATACAAACCAAGCTTTCTCCGCCACTCGTGCATGATTTCAGATGGGGAAATTTATATTTCTCTAAATTTTCTTTGAGGAAGAACTTGTAAGCAGTTGGAGGTGCGCATAAATTTGTTATTGGATAACGTTGTAAAATCTGTTTTAAGATGATTTAATTTAATAAAATTAAAATATTTTATTCGTGAAATAAAAAATAATTAGAAGAGGCTCAATGAATCCGAAATTTAAAAGGAAAGATTTAATAAGATGCGAAATATAAATCAGATTTTATTATAACATTGTTTTCGTATTTCTAATATTGAGTTTTTCCTTATACTATTTTATTTGCTTAGCATTAAAATAATGGTTTTAAGTAATATTTAAACATTCGGTGTATCACGGATGGTAAAATTTAAATTTGATATTATTATTACCAGGGCTGTGGAGTCGGAGTCGTGGAGTTTTGGTGTTTTAGCCGGAGTCGGAGTGGTCAAAAAATCCGCCGACTCCGACTCCTTTTTATTTTCCAACTTGTTATGTATATAAAACGGAAAAGTATTGAAATTGTGTCAAATTTGATCATCCAAGTTTTTTTTTTTTGCAAATCTGCACGAAAGAAGACCTCCCGAACCCCTCAAAAAAGTCAATAAAAGGGAAAAAATTCGCGCGCGTGTGTGTTGGCGTCTAATTTGTTTAATTTCTTTATTTTCCGTTCTGAGATATTAAACAATATCTCAGAATAGGTAAAGTTTAACGAAATGTGGCAATGTAGCTTGCGTATAAAGGGGCATTAATACTATTAAATTTTGGTTCTTAATTAAAGGTCGACAGGGTGAAGACATAAAAGTGGTCATGTGTCATATCTCTTAATAAATATTTTACTCGTTATTAGCATACAAAATTTAAAAAAATAAAATAAAACTCGTCACTACCCTCAAAGTAAACTTTTTTGTCATTTTGTAATAGTACAGTAAAACTCGTTAAGATGTTCTCGTCTAAGATGTTAGAATGGAAATGGAGACATGACTCAGTTCAACCACTTTGATGCTTAATAACTAACTCCTGTGTTAAACCATATGACTCCGATTCTAACCACTCTAACCACAGAAATTATTAGGCTTCAAATAGGGTGAACAAAATCATGCCTCCCCCCAACACACACACACTCACATACAATCTAACATCCACACATATAGAAAAAACCTCGAATCTTTTGCATATCTCGAAATTTCAAGGTGTCCTGAGTCCAAAAATGTAAATATTTGGGACGGGTCGTTTTTTTGACCGAGAGCTACACTTTCTCTCTGTTATAACAGCCGGAAAAGTAAAATTATCGAATACATATTTATGTATTACTTAGAGGAGTCTTTTAGCTTTGGAACAAAAAGTTTCTACGTTCTATCTTTATTAGAACTCTATTTATTGAACATTTTATTCTGAAGTCACGTGATGACATCAGAATTTCCTGGTCTCTTTCGGTAACAAGTCCGCCCCTGATCGGAGTCGGAGTCGGTAGATTTTTACGCGACTCCACAGCCCTGATTATTACTATACATAAGCATGATGTATTTGGAAATATGGTGCCCCTTGGCCCACAATATGCAAGCGCTCCCCAAACTGATAGTACCGTAGTGTCAGTTTTGCACTAAATGATTATAAATTTTATAATTTTAATTCTTCAGTAATTCTATAGATTTTTAAATATCGAAGCTGTGAAAAACAAATTCATTGTCTAGAATACTGATATGATAAAACTTAGTATTTATGGAACATATAATTTCCATTCCAGCCTTATCCGGCGTCATAAGAAAGAGGCAAAGGGCACCCGTATCCAAACTATTGATATATTCGTATATTTATATTTTTCAACTGATGCGTCGCATTTTGTCCCTAATAAGCTTATAATTTATACTAATTCCTTCATGAGTTGTTTCTATATAAAATTATTTTTTCATTATTTTCTTATTTTGAACTTTTGCGCTTCAAATTGTTGCGACCCTTGGTCAGGGCCTAGTGATCTAAAGGAAAATGAGCTCTGGCATATAAGCTTGTTATATATTTTTAAAAGTTATCTAGTTTAGCGATAAACGGACTTAAATACTTACATTTAAACATTGTTTTGCATCGAAGCGCAAAGAATTATAAATGAAATTTCCAGCACCGATTGACCAGGTTAAGAATACGGAGACCCAAATTGTCTTTGACCATCCATTATCCGTTAAGATCCAAGACAAAGAATTCGATTGAAAATCCACATAATATCTAAAAAAATATAAATTAATTAATAAATCACATATTTAATTTAATGCAAAACGTTCGAAAATACAGCATTTAGAACAAATTGATATTATAATTTACCGTCGACTTATGCATATCGAAAAAGCATTTTCGTACGTATGCTGTACAGCTTTTGGATTTCCACTAGTACCACTTGTAAAATATATAATCATGGGATCGTTCGTTTTGGTCTTAACACACTGTAATCATATAAACAAGTTTAAAATAAATTAATTGAATTGTATTCCTCATTAAAATTTAAAATGTGGTGCATATTCTGCTCCTTATTTTCAAATTTAAATTAGTAATTTTAAAACAAATAAACCTCTTCCAAACGGGGCGAACTTTCATGTTCCGTCTTAAAGTGGATCCAACCATCTTTCACTCTGGAAATCGAGAGAAAATCTTTAAATAGAAAGTTTAATCATTAAAAATTTAAGTTTCTGTAATAAATTAAAAATTTTAATAAACTTTCTGAATTGATTCTTACTTATCCTTTTCAGTGCAAAGAATTTTAGTAGTTAATGAAGGGCAATCTTTAACAATCTAAAAGATACAATGAATATCATCGATTATTAATTATTTTAGAAAAGTCGTTAAAAGTTTATATCAATAAATATATAGGCTATGTATCTTATAAATCAGTCATGCTTTGTTTGGCCACCTCTGATATACAGTCGACCCCCCTATAACACTGTTAATTATTCCGCCTTATATGAATTCCATGTTGTACAAGTCACTTAGATTTTACAAATATGTGTGCTGAGCTGTGAACGGCTCAAGTATTTGTAATATCTAAGTGACTCGTACAACATGGAATTCAAATAAAACGGAATTATCAACAGTGTTATAAGGGGTCGACTGTATATTAATCTCCTATCAGAAATACGCGAGACCTCGTCCTTTATCACAATAGTATTTTATATTACATACAAAAGTTATAGTTATCACTGTTCTATAATAAATATCACTATTATGTTAGGTTAAGAAAGCGTATGTTTGTATATGTATGTAAGAAAGGTGTCTAAAAATAAGTTTATTAAAATTCGTTTCTTCTCTTTTTAACTATTGATAAATACAAATTAATGTTTCTCAGGTCTATACTATAATTTATTCAATTTAATTTAGTTTATAGACTATTATTTAAATTTGTAATAGATTATTAAATATATTAAATTATATGTTTTCGTCAACGTAATTCAGTAGACTGATTTTGCAACTTAACCGGTTTTAGGCTTTCAACTCAACCTTTATTAAATATATTTCGGCACTCACATTCATTTCGAGCCAACTTTAAGATTTTTTTTTGACTTCTCCTCAGTGAATATAATTATCATAAAATAATTTTATATATTATAAGACCTAAACTGTTCCAGATCTCACTACTTATTACAATTCTCATACGTATTACAAATAGCGGCACCAATTTGTGTTTGTTTAGATAGCTCAGTGTTTCGATAGTTTCTATATATCATGCTTTTGCATAGTTCTTCGTATCGATTCACGCTCCAATTTTTGCGCTTCAAACTGTCGAATTTGAAGTTATTGGGTGTCTTCTCTTCCGTAAATAGCATTTGAGGTAATTTACATCTGACTTGCATATTCCATGTCTCTGGTTATAGCTGTCAGCCTGGATTTTATTTTTATGTTCCACAGTTTATTTGATATAGTATTGATTTTTTGATATAGCCTATGTAATACACAGACCTAGAGGTCTGGAACAGTTTAAGTTTTCGTAATGTATATTATTATTTTATGATAATCACTGAGAAGGAGCCAAAAATCTCAAAGTTGGATTGACAGAATCCCAAATTTTAATGCTAGGCCTATTATATGTGGCCGAATTTTTGTCTATAGTATTGGCCTGGCCAAACCCATAATTGGCTTGCTAATAAGAAGCCCTCTTAGTGCCCACAAAGCAAAAACAAAAAACAAAGCAAGCGCTGGATTTGTACATAAACTAAACAAGCTGCAGCTTAGGGGCCTTACAATTTTATACGAATTATTATTATTTGATGGCGTAAAAGACTTGTTATATGTTATAGTTTAAGGCCACAAGTCAGTTCAGCCATGACTATACCTGGTCAACTCTTTCCGATGTCTCTAAATCTGCAACTATACAATTAGCTTTAATGCTATTAATTCTGTAAAGAATATCTTTGCTCCTTAGTTGGGTAGTTCCTGGAGATAACACAATTCCTAAAATAAAATAGGATCTATTTTTATATTTAAGATATTTAAAGAAGTTATCATTTATTGCAGGATTCTGAATTGTGTTTTACCTAATTGAAGAGATGCTAAAACGATTAACCACCATTCGGGTATCTTCGGCAGAATAATGATTATTTTATGATTTCTGTTTAGTCCGCATGATCTTAGAACGTTAGCTGCTCTACAGGAAAACATTACAATTTTTAAATAAATAATAATATTGCTATTTATCGTTTTAACGATAAAACAAATTAATTTTTTAATCGAAAACTAGAATATGAATTTAAAGATCGTAAAATTATAATCGATAATTGTGACTGACAAAGATTTGTTAACAGTTAAATTTTGTTATTTAATACAGTTTTATATATACAGAGTACATCAAGAGGAAAGGTAAATACTTTGGGAGGTGAATGTTTGAGAGTAGTAGGCTACGTGAATAACATGAATATATAGTTTGATTAATATAATGATTCATGACATGATGGATTATGTTCTCGAAATGGACTCCCTCAACATCGAAATATTTTTGAGCACGCTAGCAAACTGTGAGTCCTTCGTCAAAGTGCGTTATTATTCTCATCTATAACTGTGACAGCATTTCTTGTCCAGTCAATAAATTGATCACGGAAGAATACTTTTTCTCGGTACACTTCTGGCTTCATCCAGCTCCATGTACAGCTCGACATGATCTGCGGAGTAAAATCTGTGAAGAGGATCTCGGTACGTATACTGAAGTCTGTACATTTTCCTCAGAAACCGTTCATTTGCAATCGCGGGCTTTCGTGGACTTTTTCATTCCTCTTAGTTATGAAGAATTATCTCTTAAAATGTTTATCTTTCTTCCTGATAAACCCTGTATTGATCATTCAGACTAATTCATGTTTCATTTATATCAGTACAGTGGTAGTACCTCAGGATACGAAATTAATCCGTTCCGAAACTGAGATCGTATCATGAAAATGTCATAAGGTGAATCATTTTTTCCCATACGATTACATGTAAAACAAATAATTCGTTCCAACACGGAAAACACACTCAAATTAAAGCTAAATAGTACATGAAAAAAAATAACTATAGTGAGGAAAACACTGAAAAATGCGTTTTATAGTTGTAAATGTGTAAATAACCATAATAGAATAATAATTGATTTAAAAAAATGTAGTTTTATTTGCACTTTACCTTTCAGGATAGACTACGGTGGAGGTGTAAACTGGTGGCGGAAGAGAGAGAGAAGGGAAATGATACTAAAACTTAACTTACATAACATAATGTAACAATAACTTAAAAATAACTTAGATAAAAAAATTAGTGTTGTTTTATACATATATTTTTAAATTTTTATTCACTGCTTTTTGCTTTCTTTCCTTCACTTCCACCAGCACTTTCACTGGATAGAGGTTGCAGGGTAAAATATCTATCCAAAGAAGTTTGGCTTTGCCTACTTTTTAAAATGTTTCTAAAATGACTTAGGCAAATGTCATTACTCCGAGCAGCAATACGGCCAGCGTGAACCTTTTCGGGATGTTTCGTTTCAATAAAATCAGTCACTTTCTGATAATACCTCAAGATTTCCTTTATCTAGCGAGATCCTTCCACGACGAAGCAAACACGCGGACTGAGACCAACGAACAGAAGTGAATAAAAAATGGCGCTGTGAACTAATGTAACGTCGTATGGTGAGTTTTTGTTCGTATCGTGGAGCAAAAATATGTTCGAATTTCATGTCGTATCCTGAAAATTTCGTATGCTGGGGCGTTCGTATCCTGAGGTACCACTGTATTTTATTTATTCTTTAATTTGACTTAAAAGAATTTTTTTGTCAAGAGTCAAACGTTTAGAGCTTACTTTTCTGTCTGTAGAACGAGTTCGTGAAAACTCCATTTTATATTATTGTCATTTTTATCTACATACCAAAATGCAGGCGGTCCTTTTCTTTCTAAATTCTGAAAATATGTACATATATATTGTAATTTTGAATTTTTTATTAAACAAATTTTTTTATAAATTATAATTAATGGAAATTAACACTCGTAATGATAAAATATTAATGAGATAATCAAAATAACCATCTATATTCAAATGTCTGCTTTAGATTAATTATGTAGCCTTGTAGAAAATATTTTAATAGAAAGATTATGCTTAGAGATTGAGCATGTAGAAAATTTAGATTTAGTAGGAAGAATTTAAAATAATTTTTTCTAGAATTATTGACATCCTATTAATTTGTATTAATAACTTTGTTTATACATTATCATGCTGTGTTCATCTGGAAGAATTAACATGGAAAGGACCATGTTTCCGAATTCATCTTCGTGCAAAAGATAGCCTATTTGTTAGCGAAGTTATTATGGACATTTTAAGGAACTTATAACTTATCCTTTAATACAATACGATTTGATTTTATACTTAAAGCATGGATTTATAGTACCATGATAAAACACTCGTGAGTTATATGAACAGCATCAATTTTATTCTACTACATGCAGGCTTAATCCGAGAGTTAGTAATTTTCAAAATAGTTGTTCAATAAAAACCTATTCTAGATATATATCATATCATAAAGGGAAATTTATACGAGTAATTTTTTAACTATCCTCTCCATTACTAAATTAGTAAGTTGATAGCTTTGAGAAGTGTCTCTCAAAGATCATAAAACAAATTGGAATGATAATATATAGATCCTAATACTGAATCTTAAACTGAACATACAGAATTACTGAAATTTAAAATTTATTTATTACAGATAATACATTTTGCGATAATCTTAAGATTAAAAGTTTTAGGCTAATTAAAATATTACCGAACTATTATTCTACTGTAAACTGTATATAGCCTGTATAAACTCAACGTAACCATTCGCACTAAACTGAGTAATTTTTTACCATTATCACATGTATTAAAATCCTATCGAATGATATTTATATCTAATTGACACAGATTATTATATGAAATACGAAATAAGATATTAATTCCAATATTCGGAGAAAAATATATTAAAATTCTTTCGTGGAATAAGGCAACGCTGGGAGGTGCCTCACCGGAAGACGTTCTGCGGAAAACTGGCTCTAATTATATATTAGGCAAGTAAAGCAAACCTGGAAAAATCCACGTGGTCAGCCTATTAGCGAGGAACGAACCCGCGACACAGCAGTGTTCAGTGTTGGGCAGAAAAATATACTAGAAAATACTTAAGTTGAAATTTAAGAAAACGTGATAAAAATGTTACTTTTGATTTTGAAAATTCTACAGGATTTTAGTTCAAAATATAAGCCTAGTTTTGATACTCATTTCAGTTTAGAGTTCTAACAAATAAAATGTATGAAATTGATATAAAAGATAACTTACATTTTCTTTCAATGCCCAATATTTCACAGCATCTTCAAAAAAATTAAAATATTCGGGAATCTCTTTATTTTCGTTCCATCGTTCTTCGAGTTTTGTTATACCGCAACTGAATAATTTCGATGTTGTAAAATTATAACTTTTCAAATGTAAACTTACTTTCCTTAATGAATTAAAAAAAGAAGCCATCTCAATGTAGAAATTACATTTTTATTTTATAAAAAGCTTTAAAAATTCATTAATCATATGACAAGCGGGCGTATGTTTGATTACGAATAATCTATTTATCTTTTAAAATTAAAAAAAAATTAGATTATGTAAGTTAAACTTCTGATAATGTATATCTGCGATGCAAACAGAAACTTGAAATAGAGACAAACATCTTTGCTGGCTTTTTGTTACAAAATTTATAATAAAAATAATTACTTTTTTAATGATATTTAAGCATTATAAAATAGTAAATGCGCTGTTTTCTCTTCATTTTTTGAAATTTGACAATTTTTTCCTCCCTCATTAGGGTGAGTACTCGTATCTTTCCTCCTTGTGCTATTGCTGTATATAAAATAAATATCTGCTTGATGTACATATAAAAACGTTCAAAATACTTTGACCGATCAGGACCAAATTTTTTATTATTACTCTCTGAACTCTGCGTAAATAGCCTAAAACAAGAGTGACGAACCTGTGGCACGAATGTCCAAACTGGCACGTCAGAAGAAATCATCTGGCAGGCATGCTATTTCGGATTATCACTTGTTATTTTCAATCATCTTTTCCGCTTAAAAGAAATTGGTCTTGTATCATTAGAGGAAGATGATTTTGGTATAGGGATTATTCGCGCCGTTTTCCACAACTCAGGGAAAACTCCGAACTGCAAACACATGTTATAAAACTCTAAATAATAGGAGAGGTATAATATTCCAGAGCATTTTTGCAATATTCGCTGTCAGGCCATCAATGCCAGGCGCTCTGCCTATTTTTAAATCACGGAAAGTTTTATCTACTTCATTGTATGTAAAGAAAGGGGAGTTAGCAGAGGAGTATGGAAGGGATCTAGCAGCACACAGATCCTGATGCCGTGCAGAATCGTCCACCTCGGAATCATCTACACAAAAAGTATCTAATAATTTTTCAACAGTATCATATAGGGATGTAGAAGTAGTAGAATTAGTGTTAAAAGACGTAAGGATAGTATTCTTCTTTAGTTTTCCTGTACACATCTTAGTAAGATAACCCCAAGGGTTATTCGAAGCGCTAGAACAAAAAAAAAAAACCTTCAAAGACTGCAATTTAGTATTGAGAATACGATCTTTATAAATACGCTGGTGTTGTAAGTATTCTTCACGCCTCCTTTCTCTTACTGTAGGATTGTGACAACGCTTGTATTTTCGGCGTAAGTGATTATTAATTTTGCGTAGTGTAGAAAGTTCTTCATTGCATCAGGGAACTAGCTTACGCTTGGGAATTGTCTTAGGAATATAAATATCACAAGCTGAGTTAATGTGCCTAATGCAGTGATCTATAGCAATCACAGCCTCCTCTCTGGTTTTACAATCAGGAAGATCAACAACGGAGTGAAGATATTCAGCAATTTCAGTCCAATTGGCACGAGAGGAATTAAATCGTGCCCGATAGGCCAAGGGTAAGCAATTAGTACGATTACGGACAGTAAAAGTAATATATTCATGATCAGAAAAATTATGTGTGTTCAACAAACAATTCAATGCAAGAAACTCTTCAAATGCTTCACCTCTACCATCTAGAGTGTCACCACCCCATGCTGGGGAATGAGAATTTATATCTCCAGCAATGATAAAATTACAAGAGGGGTAGGATTCNTTCTTGTATATTTGGCACTTTTAAAATTGTACCAAATAACTGGGACAAAATGACAAACTGGCTGGGATGCCGGGACCACATCATCAAACCAGGACAATCCTGATCAAAACATGACGTCTGGTAAGCCTATATAAGAGTATATTTACTGTTAAATGAGTGTGTTCATATTTATTTATTTATTATACTAGAAATGTATTTGTTTACATACATACATATATACATACATATCCTTATGCCCAATGTGAAAAGGGTGAGCAGCAGGAAAAAGGAGACTATAATCTTACAATCAATCTTTGAACTAAATGTGTTTATTTGAACTTTAAATTATGTTGCCATAGATAAAGATGACATTGAAGAATACATAGAATCACAAACTATGAATTTTAAGTGATTAATGAATGTATGAAACTTTTAATTGGTTCATCAGTGTGAAGAAACGTTTTGAAAGCAAAAAACTGAATAAAAAGAAAGGATGAATAGCATAATGCAAAGTTTGACATGCAAGATAGCATTGATCAACATTGTATTTGGAAATAATTTTTACAGTAGAAATATTTGCATTGTATATAAGCAAATTATCAAGAAAATTATATAATCATAATCAAGGTGAGTATTTTAGTTATAATATAATGTATAATAAAAAATTAAGAAATAAATTGCTTTATTATTACTACTAAAGAAAAAAATACAAACATTTAAAACTGATACAAAATTCTTTAGCCTTTTATTAATTGCTCTTTTTTTATTTGTTAAATATTAACTTAACTAGTTTAACTTCATTTTGAAATTTTATTTCATTATAATATGCTATAGTCTCTGCTTCTGATCATTTTCAGTGATTCAATCACAGTGTTTTGTATCACTTTATGATGCTCTTCACAGTTTTATAACTAATAATTTAAAATAATTCTTTGTAAACAGTCTAAATTTGATATATTGTTTACATGTACAGTATAGTACACACTAAAATTTTCATTCATTGTTTATTTAATCTATATAATTTAAAATATTTTTGAGCAAATTAACAACAATTAACATCTTAAAATAAGCTTGCAATGCTTAAAATCAACTGTTCAAATGTTTTTTTGTCATATTGACATTAAACATTAAACCTTTGTGCTTCAAAATGCACAACCTATCTTTTAAGATTTTGGATTCTTCTGATAACATGTTATACTATATTATAACTATAGTATAACTATATTATACAGCTTTATTTTTCTTTATGAAGTCCGTTTTTAGATTTTTCATATCAGTGTCAACACAGTTTTATTTTATTAAATAAGAAAATGCCTATTACAATGACAATATTAAAATATAAAAAAATTATACACTCATCCAGGTAATAGTATGTTATTTAATATTTTTTCATTCTTTGCTTGGTACTTATTCTAGCCTTTAATGTATAATGGCCAAGTGATTAAGGTAGTGTCAACCCATTGCTCTGAGGAACCTAACTTTATGTCTGGGACAAAACTTCAGAAGTTTTATAGGTGTTTTTTGACCTTGGTTCTATCTATACCACTTAAGCCCTACTTCATTGTGAGCTTGGTTGAATCTATCATAAGCATGAGAAAGGCACAATTAGTACTAATTGGGCAGAAAAATTTTTTAAAGACTTTTTAATATATATTCTGATCAAACAAGATAACAGAAATATGTCTTTCCCTGTTTAGCAGTTTTTGATCAAATTAGGTCTTATGCTAATGAATTATATAACCCCTTGTTATAGCTTGTGGATAAGAGGCATTGATGCTATTAAACCTTGATGGTTTTGAGTCCTACCAAGGATTCGAACAAGCTTCCTTGGTAGCGACTGGAACGGAATTTTGCTAATAAAATGGCATGTTGTGAGATAAGCCAAATTTTAATATCTACTAGAGGTTTACCCCAGGGAGAACCACTAAGCCTTTTGTTGTTTAATTTATTTATAAATGATCTTCCAGAGATATTTCATTATTCTGATCTTTCAGATTTTTATCTAAATGCCACGGATGCAACTCATCCGTGGCATTTAGATAAAAATCTGAAAGATCAGTAGACTCCCTATAAAACGGATACAGTAGACTCCCTATAAAACGGGTTCATATAATTTGGATTCATATAACACAGCGAAAAAATTGCGACCGTATTCATATAAACACGCTAAAAGAGACTCCTTTATAACGGTAAAACGTCATCGCCGACTCGTGTCACGACAGGATTGGTCGAATCTAGACCAATAGCAGATATTGCACAAACCGTTGAGTTTAAACGAGCAGCGGACCTACTAAAAACCATTTATTATTTAATGTCCATAAAAATTATATTTATATTAATGATGTCTCCAAAGTTCAGCAAATTTTTCGCAGAAAAATAATTTATCAGGAAACACACACGCTCCCATTCAATGCACCACTCCACAACAAAGACAAGCTTAACACACTCCACGACAAAAACAAGCGTTGTCAAACGGTGCACACTCAGTAAGTAATCCTACAATTTTTTGTTTATAGCATAGTTTATATGGATTATTCCCAAAAAATTATACATATTTTGGAAATGTTGAGTCAAATTAGTCTAGAATCGATTAATTTTATGGAAGAAA